CGTCCCCTCCTCCCTCTCACAACGATGGGAGCTGGCATGTTACTTCCCTGCCCTTCCTGCCCCATGAGGCGAACAGCGCCGAGGCTATACCAGCGGATGAAAGTAAGTAGCCTTTATATACTCGTAAGAAAGAGTGATGAGTAAGCATCATGGAGAGAACCTTTCACCAAATATAGTCACTTAACAAGATGTTGCCATTTTCAAAATTTCAAAGCCATTCAGCCACTTCTACAATGACAACGAAGCCAACTGAAGAAGTACGCTACTTTATCCTTCAGGGCAAAAAAAAAACCAGGAACGCTAGTTCAAAATGCTTTTAAAACGTGGAAAAACGTACCCGTGACATTGTCTGAGAGGATCCGCGATGTGATGATTTGTCCAAATGGCCGAAAAATCGCTTCCAATTCGGTTAATGTCATTGACTTTGGAATACCGGACACATAAAGATTTGAGCCTTTGATGTTTTCATTACTTGGCCGGGCATAGGAGACCTGTAAAACGAGATCTTCCAAGATCGTATGAGTTCATCTTCACTGAGGCGAGGGCAAACAACTGATGTCTAACAGCACTTTATAAATGACAGTAAATATTCAAGACTCAACAATATTAAGGAAGATGGTGACTGCTTTGTTTTCAACTTCCAAAGTGAGCTTTCTATTCCGATGAATAGCTAGGGAATGTCCAGATGAGTAAAAATGGCAGCGGTGGAGTAGAAAATAGACATCAAAACTCTAGCTCCTGTAACTAAAGCTCGACTCACCCCAGCCTAAGAAGGTCATTAGGTTTATTCAGCATTAAATAGGTAACTCTCATGTTTGACTTACATGATGTAGGATTAGGAGAGTTGCCCTAACATTATCAAAGAGATGAATGTGTCTTTCGCATCCAATCAGTCGGTGTAATTTAAAAAGGCTCGTTAATTAGGAGGACGTCAAAGGACGGAGGAGAGAAAGGGTATAGAGGGCGGAGACGGCGAAAGAAAAATGGACTCCATAATGTGGCTAATGAGCAACGCTCGTCTCGTTATCGTCAAGAAAGAAAGAGACGGAAACGGAAGAATCTTTTACTTCAGCTTTTAACCTCACCTCTGCCTGTTCACTTCTTTCAGTCTCGCCCAAATTTCACCATCAGTGTGGTGAGAAATGAAAAACACTAGCAGTGAAACATAGGATAAGAAACGGGGTTCATTAAGGGGTTGCATACGTGGAGTCAAATATCGCAACAATTCACGACGCACTCTGGGGACCCCAGCGGGAGGTGCTTGTATTGTGGCTGGAGGAAAAAGCCACAATACAAGCACCTCCCGTATTTGGTCTGCGAAAACATTTTTCGAAAGTGACTGTTCCTGTTCCCCGAGCGCTACCCACATCGTTACGAGGATGCAATAAGGGGAGGGGGTCGTAACTGCTCGTCGTTGAGAGGGGAGGGGTTCGTATGTGCTTCTAACAGAAATTTGCAGAGTCGCGAAATATTTGCCGCCCCTCCCCTAGTCGATGGCGTTTCTGAACTAATACAGGATTACTACCTCCGATAGTTGAGTTGGTGACGAATACCCCTCACCCGCTCGAAGGAGATATTTGTGGGTAGGGCGAAATTGGAAATCTTTTGTGGAATTTCGGAATATTGGTGGGAAGCTGAGAATGAATACAAAAAGTTGACAAGGTAATAGGTAGGATGGAGAGGGGAGAGGTCGTACCAGAGAAAGAAGTTTGACGGAAGGCCGTATTTTTTCAGTTTTTCAGAATTTCCGGCAGGACGTGCCCTGATCACACAGTCCAATAAACTCTTAAAGGTAGCTTAATGGGTTGCACCCTACCGCTCGCACCAAAAACCCACATGATTCCGAAAAATAAAGTTTTATAAGAAAGGGGAGGCTCACAACTACATATTTCGCCCGTTTTCCTCTTTCCTTTCTTCTCAGTTTATCTTCACGTCTGATAACATCCCCTGTAGCTTTATCAACTCAGAGACAGTGAATTAAGTGTCTTTAGGGGGGGGGGGCGAAGTGCGGCCAACCTGCATAAAAGGATAAAGGATAAAGTCTTCGCCCACTAATTAATCCCTCTGTGGGATGCGGCACGCATTCTATTTCCATTCAGAATCGAAGTGGCTTATTGAATGCGATGTGGCCTATACAATGACTTGCGGGGCCAGCCGATGTACAAGTCAGTGTTTTATCCTCCCAGACGAATCTGGTACCAATTCACCGTCCCCGGAGGGTAGAAGGCTTGGTTGGCCTGGGCGGGAGTCGACCCGGGATTCGAACCCTGGGACCGCGCAGTGGTAAGCGGGCCACTTTTCACTACACCACCTCCACCTCAATGTTAGTATATGTTCCAGAATGAACCACAACCACCCAACCTGCATAAGAGATAGGAAATGAAGCGAACACGTGAGCGAAATTTTCATTTTAGCTGCTCGCGTGCTATCGACGACCGTAATTGAATTTCTCTGTCGAATTCAACTGTTTTCCGATCGCCCCGGTTCCAATTGAGGCGAGGCAAGTCAATGTTAACAATAGTGGAGTTGTTTTGATTAGCTTTCTACTTGTTAACTGCAGTTTTTCGCAGCTATCCTGACAAGCAAACGTCACCACAAAGGCATAGCTTATGGGCAAAATGTCCAACTTGAAACAGAGCCCGAACTCAACACTTTAACTGTGCTTTCTGCGGGCCCTGCGACCACGCGGGCTAACGTTAGGGAGAAGAAGAAGAAGACTTCAATTGTGCTTTCTGGAGGAGCCTTTACCTATTACACCAGCAAAACATCTTATCTCTTCCTCAATCCGAAGAAAAGGCAACGTGGGGTCTTTATATAAAAGTGGACGAATGCAGGGTTCAGAAGGCAAAAATGAAAGAAAAAACGACAAACCCCACTTCGTTAAAACGTTCTGCCGAAATTCAGGACTGCTGTGATAAGGCCAGATTTTTGAAGGAAATAAAATTTGTTCAGAATTTGAACGGAAGCGACTTTGGTATTTTTCGAACTGACTTATCCTATCTAGATCGGGACGGCAGTTTTGAAAAAAGAAAGATTTCAGAAAGAGCAACTGTTTACAACCAGTGGCGACCATCACACAGTTTATGCACGTGTATGAGGACTTATTCCTACCCACTGACGGAAGCTGGGAAGTTCCCATACAATGAATTTAATTGCTATAGAAGCTACTTCAAACAGCTCTGAATTTCAAGCGCGGGATGTAGAGTTTCTCGGATGTTAGAGCCTTTCTCTCCCCGGCTTGCTCCAAAACGGATAGCTGCTTTCACATCGCCAGCCCCATACCGTATGCACAGCCGTCATTTGTAATCCTATACAGAGCAAATAACACACAAACCCGCACGCTCCCTACCCTGCATATGGGCTTATTCACACCCGCGTTTAGAAATTGGTTTGGCCAATTAAATCGAGCAAGAGGCTCTACTTGACAGAGAAGTTGATACCAAGCGGATATTAATAAAGGATACTGGTGCTGCATAGCTCTCGATTGAAAAACATGTAAGCCCGTGGTGAAGGTTTTCGATTGAACGCTTTGGATGTAAGAGAAGGTTAAGAGCAGGAAGTGAAGAGTTAGAGACAGGAAGTTGTCATACTTTTTTTGATGCCAAATAACAAGACTACGAATTGTTCCATTCGCTACCATGGAAATTTTGAGATAAAGTTCAAAACATTCCTACTGGTGGAGGTTCAATATAGGTTCGCAGTCAAGGGCGCTCCATACTAGGACATGCTAAGATATCGATGACGTCTCATGAGGTACTGATCTCAAAAAAGGGAGAAATTTGGAATTGTACAAAATGTGAAAACCCTTTTTTGCATAGAAATAATGGTTCACTCATACCGGAGCTCATGCCCCAGTCTTTTACAATAGTTTTCTTCACACATTACCCCCTAACATAGAAAAAAAATCACGTAAATGGCGAGAAAAAAGTCGAGGAAATGACGCGAAGATGTACGCCGTAGGAACTGGTCATTAAAGTGTCCTGAGGCGTCATGCAATATCCTGACATGCCCCATTAGGAAGCATTCACATATTGGGCTACGCACCCATGTTGCATGAGAGTATATATTCTTAGTTCGTGCCGCATTCATACTTTGCGACCGTACCAGCATAGCACATAGATGCACACAGAGCAGAGGGGAGTTACGTTCACGTAACCAGGGAAGTCGTTCAGGTGTGCCGCTCTTTTCGAAACCGGATTTATTGCATAAAAGTGGGCTTCGTTTTGGCTGAGCGGCCCCAGGAACGCCAAAAAAGGAGCGAAAGGTACGTCTATGTACCCCCATATGAGGGACGTTAAGCGCTATACTGGCGCCAAATTGCGTCGACGTCGAAAATAAGTGTCAAAATCGTAATCAGGACCATCGATTACCCTTATGGACGAACTTCCAGCCAAAAATTTTCGATTTTTTGGGTTTTGGTGGACCATTTGGTCGGCAGTGGTGACCGGAGTATCCCATCTTCGTAAAGACGATGATGGAACGACGACGTAGCAGGCCGCCGGGCAGGACAGCAAACCTGGTGGAATGCCTCCCTTTCCTTCCTCTTTGCATGAATTTCATCGGCATTGTTACTTTTATCTTTGGATATTAATAAAATAGGGGGTCCCTATGGCGAGGCACTGTAGACTTCTATAGAAAGACTGTCGGGCACAACCCAACGCACACACCCAAAAAAGTCGAAAAAAAATTTTTTGGCCGAAAGATTGTTTACAGGGGTAATCGATGGCCCCGATCATGATTTTCACACTTATTTTCGGCGCCGACGTAATTTGGCGCCTGGGTAGCGCTACACATCCCTTACTTGTGTGTAGCAACGCAATATTAGCGATAAATGGCACCGTAGCTACAAATAAGTTCCATATTCGTGATTCGGGCATGGTCTGACCTATAAAGGTCAACTTTCAATTACGGTCTTGCTTAATGGTATGTATAACCTAGCAAAACATAAAAAAAAACGCAAAAATTCGCACGCCGAGGGGAGTCGAACCATCAACCCCACCCCAACTGTCCGCTTGAGAATCCTTCCACGCTATCCACTAGGCCATCCGATCGTTGTTGCCCAATATTCCTCCGATCGTTGAAGACATTCCATGAAGCCTCACGATTGATTACGTGCCACAAGTAAGACCCCATACCCCGACTACTTTTCTCTTCGATTCCGATAGTACCTTTATAGGGTCCCTCCATTCAGCAACTGGTCAAAGTTTCAAGCGGTTTACAGCTCGTAGAGGCTCAAAAACAATCAGTTTCCATAGGTTTCTTTTTCGCTCCTTTTTTGGCATTCCAGGGGCCGCTCAGCCAAAACGAAGCCCACTTTTATGGTTCATGGGCAAGGCCCTACAAAGTGCAATAAACCGTTTCGAAAAAGCGGGGCACACCCTGAACGACCTCCTTTGTGAGATCAAATTTAAGCATTCGCCTGCTCAGCCTATTCACCAGATCGACTTTAGCATAGTGTACGTTATCTATAAATTGCCCGTATGTGTACGTTTCAACTGCGAAAAGATCATTAAGAAAGATGCCAATGAAACAAAGTGGCAAAATTCTCAATAAATCCACTATTAAGTGGGCGGAGTCGTCGGGGGCGGAATCAGATGTACCCTTACATAAAAGTGAGTTCAATAATGTACGTGTAGGATAATTAGAAACTGTGAAAAACTGGTGTAAATAGATATTATGGTGTAACTGTATAATAAGTGTAACATGTTCCCGACAAAAAGGGGCGTGGTTGTCCGGGGTGGAGCATGTAACGGACTCTACGGCAGGCAGAGGAAGTGCTGTGGGCGCTTCGCGCAATTAAAAGAAATGGACATAGACTTCTAAGAGACAAGACTGGGGAAAAGTCGTTTCGCAGAAGTTTGTCCTACTGTCCTATGCTCCCTTGCATGAACTTTCTGCTATCCTTCTATTCTTCCGTGATGTGAAGTATGAACGCGGTTTCACCAATCAATTGAACTTTAAGGTTTTTGTTTTGTTTAGAAGAAAGTACGGCGGTCCCAGCTGATGCATTTCAGGTTGCGTTCATACTTTGCAGTAACGTCCACGAGCGTATTGAGGATCCAGAGAAGTATATGTATCGATCTAGCGAATGCCAGTGTCCACCAGCGACCAGCAGGGTCCAGGAGTAAAGAATATAGGGAAATAGGAGAGTAGTAGACAGCTGGATTAGGCATCGTTTGATTGCGACATTTGTAACCGATCGTACGATTGGTAAAGCACAGAATTATAGAATTTTCATGTACGGTATATTGCAGTAGCAGTATAGTGCGGCTCCACACGCCTTCTTTCCTAGTTCCTTGGGACGCTGGTGGACGCTGATAAACGCTGGTGTTCGCTAGATGTTGTCGCTACCTATATTTATCTTGTGGCTGAGACTGACTGACTCGAAACAGTAGTAGTGGCTGGTGGTTGACGCTGCCGCAAAGTATGAACGCAGGTTTACGGTCAGAGGTGAGCTCATATGAGTTACACGCCACACTGTCAAAAAATAAAATGGGATTGCATACCGAATGGATCTGACAAAATCTTGACATCGTTCAACTAAAAACAGAACTGAGACGCGGTATTTGCGTGTATTCAGCTCTAATGATATATTCAAATTGATGATCAACGAACAAGTCACAACACATTGTTATCAGTTTAAAGCTCAAGAATGATGTGATGAACGAGAGCGCGAAAGCTCAATACGTTACACAGCTGGATGCATGCACACAACGAGAAAGAAGAGAAGGAAGGAGATGAGGTAAACGGCAACAACCTTGATCGTTTTGTTCTGCAGACGAAGTCCGTTGAAGGAGGAGACGGCCTTGAGGGCGTCGTCTTCGCGACAATAGTTAACAAAACCATAACCAAGACTCTGGCCTGCAACCAGAAACACAGTGAACGTAGACACTAAAACACGCCAATGCCCACCGCTCACGAACCGAACTAAAAACTAAAACAGAAAGCAAATGTAGGCAAGTCTCTCTTCAGAGTACTCCGAACGTGTAGTGGCTGGTGGTTGGTGGGTGTGTGTGATAGGATTCGCTTCGTAAGCGGAGCACCGAGTTGAAATGTGGGCGTTAGTGCAACCAAAACACTCGAAAAGTAGAAGAGAACTCATTGAAATACGACCAATCAGGTCAATAGGTCACTTCTAAAGAAAACAGACAGGAAATATCTAGGAAAAACTCAAATTAGAAGGCTATAGGACATGGTGAGTGTATAAACAAAAGCTAGTTGTAAAGGTAATGGAAGAGAACTATTACATGGGTCTGCTCGGCGACAGAGGAGGGGGGGGGGCATTTGCAATTTCTACTTCCCATCGATCTAGAGAGCCATTTTGTGAGCTCACATGAGATGACAGGTGCTACCAGGTAGCTCGCAGGCTTCAGCTCCACATGAGTTCACAGGCCTCACCAGAGTGAGATTGTATAGTGCAGTTCATTGCGGACGGTTGGGTGTACTGGTGCGGCTACGTTGGGCGCGGTGTGACAATACTGTATCATACCTTTCGTATTACTTGTTTTCTACTGCTTTTTGTCGCATGCCCGTTTCAACAAGAAGGCAGAGAACAGCTCAAAGAGGGTGACACACTCATACTGGCTGACACGCCCAACCGTCCGCAGCGAAGTAGAGTGTAAATCAAGAGACAGCGAAAATACAAAATGCACCCCCCCCCCCTCCCGTTGCCGCACTGCACCCTACATTACATAATGTAGGTTGTGGCATAGTCAACAAAAAAAACTTCCTGATTACTAAAAAGACTTCATTAAAGATAAACCATGAAATCCAGATTCGATGGACACGGGGGAATCAGCTAATGTAGGCGTAGGGCTAGCACGGGAAAATTGACGAAAAAAAGCATGGCAGAAAAAATAACGCAAACATAAACACACAAACTCCACTACATGAAGTCAGGTCCATAGAGTGTGGAACTCGAAACTCCCTCTTCAATTATATTATATCTACCCCAACAAAGCGTCTTTGGGCATATCTGGACACAATTTCTTTTCTGAAGCTGCAATTATTGGGATTTTCTTTGCTCGGGAGCGCTATGAAGGGAATCCGTCATCTATAAGATCCCTGAGCGATTCATCTTTTCCCGTCTTATCCTAAGAAAAAATGATGGTTCATTCCATTCATTCAGTGATGACATGGTGCGCGGCCCTAGCGCGGCGAGGGAGCGTTTCGTAACTTCTGTCGTCAATACCGGCCCTGTGAACTCTCGTGAAAAGAAGCATGAAAGCTACCAGTTTTCAATCAACTCATCTCTCTTCGGCATTTTATGAACGGAATCCAGGGAACTTTTACGCCCAATGAAATACAGAAGGAACTCTGAAAGTGAGTGAACAGATTAATTTTCTGTAGAAAATGGTTCATAAGATGTGGCCCTACCCAGAAGTCATGGGATAATGTTTTTTTTTGCACCATCCCCCCACACATTCCAGATCATATAGCCGAATTTTACGATCTCACAAGAAAAACTGGTGCATTGTCATCACTCCACAGAAGTTTGCAAAACTCTACAAACTTGTCCGCTACCTTGACAGAAGTTTACCAAAAGCCCACTCCTCCTCCGGCCCCTCCCCCTCTCGGTAACGGCGGAGTTCCGCCGCAATAAAGACACCAAAGTTGACGTACTTTGGGACGCCACGATCGAATATGCGTCCACTTTAGAAGAAAAATGTGGGAATTAAGAGAAGGATTTGGCGAACACCATGCTCGCCGAATCCAGGCCGAAACATGAGTGTAGGTATATAGAAAGCAGAATCTATTTCGAGATAGTAAATGGTCCGAAGTATGCCTATGAGAATAATTCACTTTTCCGAAGAATGAGTAAAATATGCAAAACTTGAAGAAAAACATGCATTTCAATTATACAGGTAGACCCTTGAGCTGACGAAGAGCATTCAAGATTTTTTAAGTTTGTAACAAGCAGAAATGAGCTTGAGTCTTTTTTAGGAACTCGCTCAAGAAGGAGGGCATTTAGAGCACTCCTCAAGAGGAACAGGGATTATCATAGCGCGAAACCACTGTGAAGTTGATCCAGTCACCGCAGCCAACTCCCAAGGAAAAAAAAACCAAAAAATTTCCCATTACTGCAGTTTCGGTGTTGCATAAGGAGTCTGAAAGCCGGCTCAGCCAAGATCCGCCCGGAATTTACCCTGCCCTCCTTCAAACAAAGCTCACTGAAAAAAAAACGCAAAACAAGACCTTTGGTGCGCTGAAGCTTTTTGCAATTAATGAGATAATTCTGGGAACAATATCTTCTAGCATTAACGACCACTCTTTTGGAAGTCTATAGTTCTTTCTTCGAAAGAACCGGAAAAAAGAACTCGTTTCAGCAAAGCCTCGTGAGAAAACCGCCACTTTGGGCCACTTTGGCGGCATCAAGAGATTTAGAATCGCAGAAGAAAAGCAGAATATTCATCACTCATTGAACGGATCAAATCAGCGGAAAGATGAGAATTTCTTGAGGAAAATGCCGGAGGAAAAAAAGATACGAGGCGAATGTGCTTACCTGTCATTTTATCGCGGACGAGTTTACACGATTCAATTTCGCCCACACTCGAGAACAACGATCGCACCTCTTCCTGGGTCATGTTCTGCGGCAAATAGTTGATAATCAGGTTCGTCTTCGACTCTCCAATTTCTACATTTGGCGCTGTGCAGTACCGTTGAGACGGCACATAACTCTGTAATTGCCATCAATGAATACACAGCGATAGCCATCTGTCGCTTATTGCTATCCTAATAACCATACTGTAATACTGTCATAATCGTTATTCAATGACACTCATCTGCCGCTTTAATGATTAATTTCCGTTATTTTTATGATTGAAGCTAAAGTTAGTCGAAAGTTTAATTAGTTTCTGCCAAATGAGGTTGTTAGATGAAACCTTGTATTGGCTTATGTTTCGACCTTCTCGCCTTTAGCTACATCGAAAAACACCCAGCTGGAAAAATGCGTGATGTTCTGACCATTGTGGAACCTCTTGTATAGTCTTGTTCACTGCGGCCTCGAGGGCGTGTCAGGCGTGACGAGTTTGGCGCCGTGCCAAACCCGTTCTGTACCAGTCGCTGAAGCGGCAAATGACAAGTCAGTATCGTTTGTATCATTCGTTTTCTACCAACTGTGGTCGCATACCCGCTCCAACAACAGGCAAAGAACGGGTTTGGCGGCGCTAATAATGCCTGACACGCCTCAATATCCGCAATGAACCAGAGTATACGAAAGTTTTGGAATCACTGAGTTTCCAAAATTGGGTTTTCGCGAGAAAAACGAACAACTGAAACGAGTACCCAGCAATTGCAAATGAATCCCTTGCTGTTTGTATCAGAGTGCGAGCTACAGTAAGGGCTGCGTGCGCTACAATTTTGACTTATGCGACACGATGAGACTCAAGTGAGACTCATTCGTCCTTACTAAAATTACTAACACACACCCTGGTAACACACTGCGTGAGCTAGGCTCCGCACGGCGACATCAAGTTGTTCGATACCGGTAAGTTGGTTGTTCGCAACAATAACCGGGACACGGGGTCAGAAACGCTGGTGTGGATAGTCAACTAATTAAAGTCCATTTTCAGGCCCCTGAAGAAGATGCGAAGGTCGAAAAAACGAGGCGAATGAAAAGATTCCATCTAAAACCTTGTGTGGCAGAAGTAATTAAACATCCGACATCATGCCGAGGTTACAAAAAGAGACAACGTGGAGATTAGTAGCAAAAGTTGTTGTTTCTTTTGATTCGAGTTTGTTGCAGAATTGGACAATTGCCTCAAGTGGCCGACGTCAAACGGCCCCAAAACAATTTAACATCCCTCGCGGCACTTTCGATTTGATTAAATCAAGCCGAGGAAATTCCACATTCACAGAGTGTTCGCGCAGCTGTCGGGGTTAAACTGTGTGATTAGAAGGTTCTGAACATCACTTACCTTGGAAGGACTAGAGGTAGTGACGATTGTATGGCTCAGAACCTTGGCATCCATGCCGCAGTTGGATCAGAAGCGGATGGGAATGAATGGGCAGCTGATGAGGGAGCGTGACGAGCGTAGAGTGCGTGCGACTGAAAACATCCGCAATGAGAACACATGACAACTGAGAGACGCAGACTGAACGACGAAAAACGTCACGAGACAGCAGGTGTGACGAGGAGACGTAGTGTGGGAGGGCGGAGCCTGCATGGATATCATGGATAACATATGGCAGGTTGTTGGAAATAAGCTCGACAAAGACCAGAGACGCAGAAGAACAGGTGTATGAATAGTGAGGGAGGGAGGCCAGACTGCCGGGCTGGCCGCTTGGCCCACCCTACGGGGACGTGGCAGCTGAACAATAGGTAACCGTGAGCCCGAATCCCACACCGCGACACACACCGACCACCCACTCCCCGACCAACCAGCCACACATATTGGCACTACCGGCGGCACTCAATTACGTACGGTACGAACCAGTCGGCTCTCAATCCATCGAGGTCGTCCGACCGCGTTTCGCGGCAATTACCTCCCAATTAGGGCCTATGCAGAGCAACGACTGATCCAAATCTCTATGTGAGTGGGCCCGTTCAACATCACGACCAGACGATCCCACCTCAGAACAGCTGATCGCTAGGAAAAAGATGGGCGGCAAGGATTGGTCGAGCGCTGTGGAGTTTCACGCTGATTGCTATGAGGGTGTCCGGAAAGTTTTGAGAAATTCAGTCAGTTTATTCAACCCTTATGAACAACAAAAAGAGTTAAGATTCACTAGTTACAGTAATCATTCTCCTTTCCATTTCGCTCAAATTCCGAGCGGAATTACATTGCGTGGGAGTTTGTAATGAAGTGAGTACCGTGAAAGTGGGGGCATACGCAGCAACGAAGCATACTTCCACATCAAAAAGCGATGGAACTCCAACTAAAGGTAACTTTGGAAGGTTTTTTCATCGGTTACAGTGCCCCATTACCGATTTGACCTATAGAGCAGCTAGAATGGTGAAGTTAAGTTCAAAGCGTTGGGATCCGTGACGCTTGTATATTTTCCAGTTAATAGACTAAACCAGCGTCATAAATTATCTGCAAACATTTCTATTCCTCATAGCATTTGATATACGATTTTAGGCTAGCGCGTACACTTCTGTAAACTAAAAGAGCGAAATTTTCTTGAAACTTTCCGGACGACCTTATGACTTGTAGCTGGTTCATTGTTGGAGAACTGGAAGTACCAGCGAAAGCGCAGTGAGCGCTTCTCATAGATGAAAAAAGAGGATGATTCTGAGGTTATACGAGAGATTTGAAAGCGAGAAGCAATCGCTGAAGTTGAAGTTAAAAAAAGAAAGACATTTATAGGAGACGGTTTAAAAGAATAGGGAATATCAAAAAGATGAATGTGTACGAGAATTTCATGCACATTCACCTTCTGGTTCATGCATTATCACTATCACGGCCAAATAATGACGTACGGATATTAAAATAAGAAGCGAAGCGATCCCATGTGCCTTTTTCGCCAGAAAAAAAAGTAGGAGCTCTAAAGGGCACCAAAGGGCAGAAGACTGCGAGCCAGTGCTCATCATCGCTTAGGAGTCAGTAATGAAGAAAGTTGTATTCAGTTCGCTGCGGAGTAGAGCCATATCCGTTTTCAGATAGGTCTGAAGACTTTTCAGCTGATCCTGGCGCAGTATGAACCCCCTCTCCTGCTGAAGGGAAAGGGAGGTAAGGGTGGGTGAGCTAAGGCTTTCAGTGTAAAGGTGACGCAGTGGATTTGCGGTGGAGAGCTTGTCGTTCAAAATGAACTTTCCAGATCGCTATGAAGTTCCCTGCTGCGAGCCCTCTATGCACCGAAGGTTTTGTTGAAGTTAGAGAGCCAGATATGTACTGAACGGGAAAAGAGAGAAGAATTAAATGGCGGATCTAGCCGCAATTTAATCCAAATGCAAGCGGATTACGATAATCGCCGTTTGGCATCATCATTAAGGGCAAAAGTGCTTAGAATCGTGAGTGGTGATAATCGTTTTCGATTTTGATGGATATAGCAACGATACACGACAAAACAACTAAAAAGTACAACTCTGTCCGGAAAGTAAATGAACCGATTTGAATGGCAGGGGCTCCCCTCGGTTGCTTGAAAGCCCTAACAAAAGGGACACGTCGCACCCGAACGCGCCTCCCGGCGTTCTTCACAGCCTCAGGCGTGGCTCCACGCAATGCCGAGACACACATTCCAAAGAGATTTTTAGCGGCGCGCACGGATAACGCAATTATGCATCGCTCTGTGCTCGCGCGTAACAATGCTTCCGAGGTAATGATTATTCCGCTCGGGCGAGTAATCGCGGAAACAACGGACCTTCCTCCAGGCTAAACAAGCTGACTGCAATGAGATGCCACGTCGGAATAGCAAACAAGACCTCCGGCCAAGAGGAAACGCGTCATGGGGCGTCATTCCAAAGAAGCTCTCAGAATGGGTGTACGATTGCCTTTGGAGGGGGGGGGGACGTAACGACTTTTTGTGTACGGCTCGAAGCCGACGGCGAGGTGTGAGGGAGTGTCGCAGCTGTTGCTCTAGGAATCAAGAGCAGCGCTGAAACCTCAGCGCTATATAATGATTGAGCCTGGATCTATTCGGTTTATCTGCTTGATTATCCGATGCCTTGTGGCAATAGCCGCTAAACATATGCGCTTCAGCTGTAACACTTGAGCCGCCAACGCGTGGATAATTGTGGTGTTCGTGGCTAGAGAGCTCCAACTCTATCTATTGTGAATGGGGCTTAATATGGGAAAAAGCTTTGAACCCTGAACAATCGAGCGCGTGGGGAATGACAGGAAGACAGGGAGAATGCGGAACGACATGGCTCATGTGACTGACTCCGACCAGTCTGTTGCCGCTACCGCCGAATTATGCAAAGTCTAATCCCCGCATGTGTACCCCTCCTAGAAATATATGTATGTAAATCCATATGCCGCTAGAGCAGTCGTCGTTTGTGAAAAACCCTAGGCGAGCTCTATTTTATAGGCTGTAAAAGTCACGAATTAATGGAGCGCGGGAGTCAATTGACGTCCATGACTTTGCTCCCTCTGTGGTCAATTAGTGGTTCAGTCTGCGTACAAAGATTCACCAGATAAAGGCTCTACTTCCACAAGGCCGTCAAATAGCATGAAACATTGCGCCTATCTTTATCATGTTTTATTTCAAATCTCTGGAATTCGCCCACCTAGTGCACTGGTTGAACAAAACCCCAAGGGTTCACTTCAGGGAACATGTGCCAAATCCCACCTTTCTGTCCGACATGCCCCCACAAGAGACCAGCGGCAAAATTTCTTTTTCAGTGTTTCCTTTCACTGTTTTCGCGGTGCGCAGGCATTCATCTGCTAGTACTCAGCCAGATACATACGAAGCGGATCCGCTCCCCTGACCACACACGAAGGAAATCCCACCTATCAGCTGATCTGTTCATTCGTTTTAAAACTTTACAGCTTGCGGAGGGATGGAGTTTGGTGTGGGTGTTCGGAAGGGGAGGGAGGATGATGAAATGAAGTTTGAGCTGGATTTTCCCGGTGAATAGGCGCCGACGGGAAATTCGACGTCACACACACAAAGGGTGAGATTTAATAAGTATTCGATCATTCACAAAGCGGAAAATAAAAGTGCTTCGTGTGCTTTTTCTAAATGGCTTACGAATGAATGGGGATAATATGAACTAGTCATGCATGCTACAGAAAGTGACAGCCGAGTCGGTCTCCTTCATTTCTAATTAGCTGCGACTGAAAGAGACATATCGGCTATAGCAAAGAACTACCGTAGCCGATTCCATAATCGCCCGATATCCGCTCAAGCGTCGATGGACGAGATTTTTCGGATGAAATTCGAGAGCTCCGTTCGGGAAAGACGAGATGTGCTGGATGGGCCATCGGCTGAGAGCATCAGCATTGCTTTCACGGATACGAATCGGAAAGTGAAAAGAAAAGAACAGTGCGATTACAAAAATGCTGAGTTGTGTTCAGAGGACCCAGACCAAAAGAGGTGGAACTCGAACCCGTATGATAATAAAACAACTTCAGAACAACTTCGTATGATTGTCTCCAATCTAAGAACTCCACGCCAAGGCAGAATCACTATCAGTGACAATTATGTTGGAACGGCTGAGAAGCGAAGTCTAAGTGGTCCCGAGAGGCCGCAAAAAACTGCGTCCGAGAACGACTAATGCCAGTGCCGCATCAAGTTCAAGAATTCCGGCAATCAATGACGAAAAAGTGTTTGAGAGGCGATTAAGACTGCTGGGCGAGCAGTCATTAATACTCAATGAAGGGCAGAATTCGCCTCAGTGGCTTCTACCTGCAAGTCCAAATAGAACGCCAAGCACTGATTGCAGGTGATGATAGTAAATATATTTTGGGATTGGAATGGCTCAATGAAGAAATACAAACAGCAGGAATTCAGAAACGAACTAGGAAGAAAGCCTCACACTAAGGAAAAGCTTTCAGCATGATCAGTTCCCTCTCTGGGGATATGCCTTGCATCTGCAGGGGCAGGAAGATGTTCAAGTCAAAGTTCTGATCCTTGAAGTTTAGTCTGGCACCAACTGGTGGGAAAGCTTGATTGTCTTATGCGGGTTCTGGGATTTGCTCCAGGAGCGTGCCCCGGATAACGCTAGTGTTTCACTGGTGATCTGCCAGCTTTGCACCTTCTACGTGGTAACTTCACGGGAAGGGCCACGGGACCGCCGTCTATAGCTGGAACTCAGCGATATTTCAAAAGTCCTGAAGACTCGAAAGCGAGCGTGACCTAACACGGAGGTCGCAACCATTTTCGAAACGACCATTTTCGAAACGGTTGTTGCATGCTGCAAAAAAATGTTGTACATTTTCGCTGCGCGGTTCTGGGAATGTCGAGAAGGGACGAAACATTTTTCTAGGAGAATAACTTGGGGATAAAAAGCTGCTCTGTGTATGGGCAGAAGATTTGGCGTTTTAGGACACGTTGGCACACAAGCACTTGGTTCCGACATACATATATA